CTCTCCCCTTTAACGGGAAAACCCAATGATTTTCTAAGTATAGTCCCCCTACCAGCCACGTCAGCATCATCTGGGAGCTAGCTAGAAGTGCATATTATCAGGACCCTTCCCAGAACTAAAAACTCAGAAACTCTGGGGGTAGACCCAGCGATCTACAAGCCTTCCTGGTGATGCTGATGACGCTCAGGTTTATAAACAGCTGGCCTCACCTAAACTTCAGGTGTCATGTCATCTTGGAACACATCCCTGAAATGACGTAAGGGTGAAGGGCAAGAAGAACAGAGGCAGGACTAGGCTTTGGGGTTAGTGAGATGGTATATCTCACTCGTGAAGGCTGATCAGAGATGGGACGGTATGTCGGGGGCAAGATGACCTGGCAGGCAGCCTTCCCTGGTTTTTCCCTGATGTAAGGATAGATGACGTCAATACCCTGTAGCTCTATGACTCAGATCAAGCTATAGAAGTAGCTGATGGGTAATATGAACTCTTTCCAAGTGTGTGAAAACACCTTCTGAAAAGTAGTAGCTCTAAAATATGGTGTTTCTCAATTTTTTATCTTCGTATTTAGCCGTGAAATGAAAATGTATTAGGCTTTTTTTTTTCTCTTATTTCCAATATGCTCATCAACAAGCATGATAGCAGGTTTTGTGGTAATGAGCAGTGGCTTTTCTAAATACAATGGAATCTAGGATATGAGTATTCTCAACATTTCTCAAAATAGATTTCTGGGTAATAGGACCATAAGGCAACAGAGTAGTGAAAAATGAATTGTGCATGTACGTGTACATAGGAGTCTAGATAGGAGGCTTTCATTTGGGCCAACTAGCTTGTGACAATATTTTTAAATTCTGATGTAGCATTAATGCTGGGATAAAATAGCAGATGAAATATCTNGTTGGCATTCCTGGGAGATCCGAACAAACACTTGGTAGTCTCCAAATTTTAATGAACTCTTCTCACTTTTCCTTAGAGGAAAAAAAAATTCTCCCTTTTCTTCGTTCCTCAAGAAGGCATTTCTTCCTATTGAAATTAGGCTTTTCCCTAAACAAAAGTTGAATTTCTTCTCCAACTTGGATGTTTATGCTTTGCCTCATAAGTTGCCCTGTGTGGTGGCGTCTGTCCCTTCTTTATTAGTTATTCCAATATACTAGAAATGTGGTCTTGCAGCAAGTATTTATTACTAAATTAGGTTCTTCTAAGGACTCAACTTTGCAGGCTGTCTGATTTTCAGTGGACCATGCATCTGGCATCTGTTGTCCTTTTCCCAAGAACTGTCATTGACCAGCGTTTTAGTAGTTGCAAGGCCCGTTTCAGCCTCTGGGGGGCAGTAAAACACAGGAATGAGCTCTGAACCTTCAGAAGGAAACAGCCAAATGCTATCACTAAACTGCAGCCTAGATCAGCTTTCCAACATGTATGTTGTATCACATGCAATTCATTAAGGGAAGGAGAAAAAATAGAATGTCCCTTTACATGTTTGCCACAGTTTTAATCCTTTTTGTTTTGTTTTGTTTTATGACAATAATAGTTCTGTGGGATGTATATATAATTTATAAACCAAAAGAAATGCATATGTTGGGTGCACATGCTCAGGATTGTCTGACAGGAGAGCAGTTGGGAGATTACTGATCTAAATCACAAGCATTTTAAAGATCCCGTAAAGACAAGTTTTATAAAAGAGACTTTTAGATCCCGTGTTTAAGCTGATTATTATTCTTGAAAAAAGTCTCTGCAAAGCAGTCTTGCACAGTAACAAGTCATTTCCTTAGGCTGCAAACTGCCTGCTCCTCAGCTGTGTAAAAACAGAGGTGAGGGCAAGTAGGTGGGGAAGTTCTTTCAAGGAAGTTCTTTCATCATTGAACAGAGAATGTGGAGCTGGAAACAGAAGAAGCTAAAAAGCCTAGAAGCTAAGAGTATTCTGTAGGTCTCCTGATTACATTTATGTCCAGTCCTCATAAATAAATCAATCCAGGCCTTCTCCTTCCTTTCCAAAATGTAGTATATTTAATGATATATTTATAAAAACGTTATATTTTCTAAAACCAATTGTGTGCATTTTTAGCCAGTTTCAGTCTCTTCAGTTGAACCTAAGAGCCAATTATTATTTTTTTAAAAAAACACAAGGTTTGTTATGAAAAGGTCAGTGATGTTTTAAATGAAAACTATCAAATCATTTCCCTCATTTTCATAAGTTAATCTTATATTTTAACTGCAAATACATCAGTAGAGTGATTTATCAGCATTTGTAATGCATTGGGCAGGCATTGGGGACAGTAATAAGTCCTTTTCATTGGTTTTGTGCCTCATTTCCCACTCCCAAATCCCAGAAGACAACCCATTAGAACACTGGCAGTGTATGTATGCTGTTATTTTCCTATTCCATTTCCTATTCTTAACATTAAATATTCTAGTGGTAACTTGATGGTATCAAGGCATACTTGTGGAATTTGTTTTAGGTAGTCAATAGTTAATAGATAATACTTTTTGTCAGAAACCTGTAGGAAATCTTATCTAATATGTCCCTGTTTTCCTCTTAATGGAGTACAAGGAAAACATTAGCCTTGCAATTCAGAACATGATGCTGTAGGAAAATAAGTTAGTGACTTAGCGATAAAGTGGAGAACTTTGGGTTATGTGTGTATTGGTTCCATGATATACCCAGGAAGCTTATCTTTCCATCTTATTGTTAATATCAGTGCATCCTGTCTACATTTTTTTTTGTTTGCTCTTTTTTTTCTCCTAAAATAGTAAATCCCCTTAAAAACCCAGTCACTTGAGGTTGCCACTTAATCAAAATGTGTATGAGGTTGGCAGGACACAGAGTGATCTGAAATGCTGGAATTGCTGATTCATTTGCAAAATTACAAAATAACCCAGTTTCCTACCAGAAAATTAGGACTGTACAAGGTTTCCAAGTCCCAGTGTGACTTGTGTATACATTTTGCATTCTATCGTGCCTGATGAGATGTGTGTCATCATCATCACTATTTACTGTGCTAACTGCTAAAATATGCCACTGCTCTATATGGAAAGGAGTTTGGGGGTCTCATCTTCTGATAAGGCTCAGGTGTGGATTTCTTTTATAACAGAGCTTTTAATGTTAAAAGTGATTGCTTTCTATTAAACTGTAAGACATCAAGTTGTTTTAAAACATCACATCTATGTAGTAACTTTGAAATCTTTGATTTGAAATTGCAGCTGACGTGCTGAGTGAAGGAGCGATATTGAAATGGTACAAAGAAGCACACGTGGCCAAAGGCAAAAGTGTTTTTCTTGACCAGATGAAGAAATTTGTTGAGTGGTTACAAAACGCAGAAGAAGGTACGATTCCATTTAACAACTTTGGTGGGCATTCACTAAATACTTCCTCATTATCATTCAAGATATCTACGTCGTTTCTTTTGCTTTCCTAAAACTAAAGTTCTTGAGCTGTCTTCCATGTCAAACGTTTTGTCTACAGCTTAGCCTTCCTTTCCGAAATCAAGGCAATGAAAATTTCTACATGGCAAAAACAAACAAACAAACAAACAAAAACCCTCTTAAGCCATCCACCCTAATTGAGTACAAAGAGGAGGAAATAATTAGCAGAGAGGAAAGGAAAAAACAATACATTTGCCTTAATTACACATGGAATTATATAGATTTTGATAAGCCTTTACCATGATTGATATTCAAAATGGCAACACAAAATAGAAGAACAATAATAGATGAGAGTGAATGCAACTAAGAATGAAAAATTTATTTTAGGCAATTCAAAGAATAAAAGTAGTTATATTTCCTATTAATATTAATGAAGATGTTGCATTTTTAGTAAGGCAAAGTTCATTTAAAAGCAAAGGGAGAAAAAGTTTTCTATCTGCCCTCATATGTAACTATCTTACCTGGTACATGGATGCCTAGGATAGAAATGTCTTTTGGGGGCAGGGCAGAGGCGAGGAATGGATTAGAAACTCTTTCATGACCTTATTTAAAGGAAAAAACAACAACAATAAAAATCCTGACTTTCTTCTCTCCTAGAATCTGAATCGGAAGGGGAGGAAAATTAGATGACTGGAGAAGCACAATACCTAAGTTACACAACACTTTTATTGAGAATGCTGAACCATTCAAGAAGAGAAACTTGGCTTCCGTTTTCCCAAAGGAAAAAAAAAAAAAATAGGATAGGTTTCCCTTGTGCAGAGGGGGAAAGTGGTTTTTGTTTTTGTTTTGTTTTTAAATGGAGCCCTGAGGCATCAGCTATTATACTTGGGACTCTACCTCTCACTCACGATATGCTAACTTAAAGCCATTCAACAAGGAGTCAAGTAGGAATCTGAAATTAAATATTCAACAGGCTCCTCTTTTTTAGCTGTATTTTTCAGGTACTGTGTGGTGAACGCCCCACTGGTGTCTATAACAGGGCCACTTTGGTAGTTGTGTTTCTGCTCGTGTATGTGATCTGACAAACCAGTTTTTTTAAAATAAATGGCTTTATAAAAATCTGGGCCTATTTTCTCAAAGCTTTTATTTCTTCACTGTACATGATTTCTTACACAGATGACGTTTTACTATTGTGCTTTATTTTTTTCCCTTCTAAAATTTTGAAAGGTTACATTTCTTGTTGTCTATGAAAACAACACTGTTTCTTTATGCATCATAAATAATAAATTTCAGTTATCTTCGGCGTGAAATAGATATTGACCCAAAATTACATATGCATTAGCTCTAATACCTTGAAGTGATATTATTAATAATTATTAGCTATGTAAATATATAGTTCCATACGTCTCATGTTTTTCTCAGCTCTGTTTCCTATTTAGAGAAGAGCTAAAATATTTATATATGTAAATAGATCTTTGTTTATATTTATAAATAGGTGATTTTATTTTTTAAATTATCCTATTTGCAATAGTAGCAATGTGAAACATCTTATTGTTTAGAAAGCTCATAGTTTTATTACACAAGTCTTCCTTAATTCTTGAAAAACTTCAGGACTGCCCTATCACTGATAGGGCAATGGTAGTTGCCAAGACAAACATTATCTATAATAAGTAAGAGTCGAAACAAAAAGAGGAAGCATTGGAAACTGTTCACCAAGGTAAGATGTCGTCTAGTTTCCTATTTATCTTCAGGAGAAAAAAAGAATTTTTTCCCTATGAGTGATTTGACTACATAACCTAAATCATACATGATGAAGTCCTTCCATTTTTCAAATACTAAGTCTTTGATGAATGCCTTTTTTCCCATGTAGTGAGAGCACTGTCAAGTTTTCTGTCCCAACAATGGACAGAGAAATATCAATTTAAAAAGATATTTGTGAAAAATTATAGGTGCAAATGTCAGTTTTATTACACAGAAAATAAGGACAGACAACTGTGACCAAGAATGATTGGAAGTCAAAGAATAAAGAGCTTTATGGGACCTTAAACTATTTTGTATACCCCTGGATGTACTTATACAGAGGGTGCCCAAGAAATGTATACACATTATATGAAAGGAAAAAACTATTAAAATTGTACTACTCAATATATACCAATAACAAAAGATGAATACAAGTCACATGTGACTTCTGCGATGACAAGAGATGCTCAAAGTGGTTCCCATCAGTGTCCAGACACTTCTGATTATGGCGAACTGCTGCTTGAGCAAAGTTGACCAAAGTGTCCACTTGTATACATTTTTTTGGCACCCCCCAGTATATTTTTTTCCTCAATGGATCTACTGTGTAATGCTCCTCTTTCATACCAATTTTCCTTTCCAGTTTGCCCTTTCACAATTGCCCTTCTCCTATCTTACAAAAGAAAGTATTAACTCACCCATCCCAATATGGTACACTGTCCTGGAGATGAAACCACATGGTACTAAACAAAGGGGTGCTTCTAGAATGCATTGCTCTTATAGACTAGTCCCTTGAGAGGAAAGCAGGAAACTGAAAGGAGAGGTGTCTGATTTTTTCCAGGCAACTCAAGGCAAGTCTCCATTATCTATCTACCCGGCCACCTATCATAAAAATCAGAGTTATGAAGTTAAGTGGTGGTCACATCATAGAGTGCATATTAATGTATTTGTTTGAATTGAAAAATGAAAATTTTTAATTTAAAAATAAATTTGGCCAACTAATTGAGCAAGTGCTGACTGCCAAGGAGGCTATATGGTAGACATATCCCAAAATTAAATCTGCATCTCTAATATTTTGACAAAATATTTTTAAAGATAAAATTATATTCAATTTATAATAAAAAATTTGATGTCAACTTCTTTGTGTTTTATA